TTTACCAGAAGGCAGGTTAAGTTCGTATATGGACCATGCCGGTCCACGGTACCTCCCGATTTTCGGTATTTTTATGGTTTTTGCGACGTTAATTGCCGGGATTATTTCAAATTTCGTAGTAGAAGTTCGTCATGGATACTACAGCCTATGACAAAAATGTTTGTATGCAGGCCCACGTCTTCGTATTGTCCCCATATAACGGTACCTCCCGATACGCGGAATTTTTATGATTTTGGCGGCATTATTCACCGAAATTGTAACAAAATTCGTAGGGATACTACAGCCGTTCGTATAGCCCTCATATAACGGTACCTCCGGATTTTCGGTATTTTCATGATTTTAGCGACATTATTTATCGGAGTTATTTCAAATTTCGTATTAGAAGTTCGCCATGGTCAAAAATGTTTGTATGCAGGTCCACGTCTTCGTATAGTCCCCATATAACGGTACCTCCCGATTTTCGGTAATTTCCCCCATAAAATTAAATTTCATGATTTTAGCGACGATAATTTCTGGAATTATTTCAAATTTCGTGTTTGAAGTTCGTAGTGTGTACTACAACCTATGACAAAAATGTTTGTATGCAGGTCCACGTCTTCGTATTGTCCCCATATAACGGTACCTCCCGATTTTCGGTATTTTCACAGTTTTTGCGACATTATTTACCGGAATCGTTTCCAATTTCGTATTTGAAGTTCGTCATGGACACAACAGCCTATGAGAAAAATGTTTGTATACAGGTTCACGTCTTCGTATAGCCCCCATATGACAGTACCTCCCGATACTCGATATTTTCATGACTTTTGCGGCATTATTCACTGGAATTGTAACAAATTTCGTATTTAAAGTTTGTACGGGTACTAAAACCTATGAACAAAATCGTATGCAGGTTCACGTTTTCGTATATCCCTCATATAACGGTACCTCCCGATTTTCGGTATTTTGATGATTTCAGCAACATTATTTACCGGAATCTTTTCAAATTTCGTATTGGAAGATCTTAATGGGTACTACAACCACGGCATTTTACCCCCTGAAAGGGAATTGTCTATCTAGGTGCACGATATCGTATATCCTAATATAACGGTACCCATCACACCCCCCCCCCCTCCAATTTATTTCGTATTTTGATGATTTTAGCCACATGTCCAATGGAATTGTCTGAAAATCCACACGAGGAGTTCCTTGTGAGTACTTTATCGCCTGGAAGATAATTATCTATATAGGTCCACGATCTCGTATAGCCCCCATATAACGGTACACCAGGGTATTCGGTATTTTGATGATTTTAGCCACATTTTTCAACAGAATTGTCTGAAATTCTACACAAAGAGTTCTCTGTGAATACTTTACCCCAGACATAAATTTGTCTATATAGGTCCACAATATCGTATATCCCCCAATATATCAGCACCATCCGATATTCGGTATTTTTAAGATTTGAACAGAATTTTTAATGGATTTTATTTTTTTGAAAATTTCCTAATTCGTTCTAAATGGTGGAGGATATTGAAATTTCGGCCTGGCCGAACTTAGCTGCTTTTTTACATGTTTTTTTTTTCTAACGCTTAATTTAATTTTATTTATCTGTCAGCTTAAGCTTGTTACTAGCACGAGGACTACCAACGGCAGCAATGGTAACTTTGCCGCTGAAAACTTATGGATGCTGCGGGTTGGATCCATGGCAGGAAATGCACGGCAAGCACAAATTTAATTATGAATTGCATTTGCAACTTTTTTATTTGAATAGAGAACATACATTTTAACGAAATTATAGGGAATATGATGGAACACATTTTTTTTAGTGAGAAAGCTGTTTAAACCCTCTGCCATATGGCTAGAGAGGGTATATATTTGATACGGTCAAAAAAAGATCAAAAAAATTTTTTTTTCCACAGGAAGAGAAATGATGATCCGATCTTGCTTCAACTTTGCAAGTCCTAATGTTTCCCTCAATGGGCAATATCGGTCAACTTCATCAAGTACCTCCCCCACAAAGGATCACAACTTTGAATAATTAATTTTAACTCCTATTAAATGTGTTGTAAGAGTACGATTGTCTTCAAATTACACACATCCAAAATATTTTTACTAACCCAGGGTCTGCTGCGAAGAAGAAATATGTCGGACCACTCCTTCTGGTACCTACCTCACATAGGGTCAAAATTTGGAATACTTATAACTCCTTTAGAATAAAATAAGAATCCGAAATTTTCCACATTCCAGTATTTTTACTAACACAAGACGTGGTGTGAAGTTGGGATATATCGATCCACTCCTTCTGGTATCTCACCCACAGGGGGTAAAAATTCTGAGGAATGAGCAACCGATTCTTTTCAAACTCGGCACATCTCAATATTTCTATCAACAAAAGATAAGGTATGGTACCTCTCCCCCACAAAGGGTCAAAGCTTTGAATAACATAAACGATTGTAGAATCTGAAATAAGCATCCGGTTCTCTTTATATTTTACACATCCCATTATTTGTAATAACACATGATTCGCTGTGGAAATGGGATATATCGGAGCAATCTCCACAAAAGTTCGACATTTAAAAAAAATATTTTACTGCACAGAAGGAGAAAGTATGATCCGATTATGCTGCAACTATACAAATCCTAATATTTCTATCAGTGCTAAGTAAGGTGCGAAAATGGACAATATCGGTCCGTAACTCCCCCACAAAGGGTCAAATGCTTAAATAATCATAACCCTTATAAAATGCGATGTAAGAGTCCGATTGTCTCCAAATTACACAAATCACAATATTTTTATCACCCCAAGGTCTGGTGTGAAAATAAAATATATCTGTCTACTCCTTCTGGTACCTCCCCCACAAATGGTCAAAATTTTGAATATCCATGAAGCTCATAAAACGCGAATTTAACATCTGATTCCATTCAGAATTGGCACATCTCAACTTTTCCATCAAGACAACCTCTGTTAAAAAGATGGTAGAGATTGGACCATATCTTCTGGCACCTCCACTCACAAAACGTTAACGCGTGGAATAACTAAAACGATTCTAAATTCCGAAATAAGCATCCGGTTCTCTTCATATTTCATACATACCATTATTTCTAGTAACACAAGATTTGCTGTGGAAATGGGATATATCGGAGCAATCCTTCTGGTAACACCCCCCCACAAAAGTTCGACATTTAAAAAAAAATATATTTTACAGAAAGAGAAAGTATGATCCGATTATGCTGCAACTATGCAAATCCTAATATTTCCATCAGTGCTACGTCAAGTGCTCTGTAGATCTTGTTTTACAAAATCGGTGGATCTTCTTCTTGAAGATAAGTGAATCTTTTTCTAGAAGAAATGCGGATCTTCTTCAAAAAGATCTGTGGATCTACTTCAAGCTGCAAGAAGATATATAGAAAGAAGATCTGTGGATCTTCTTCTAGAAGATCTATGGATAGAAAATATGTGGATCTTCTTCTACAAGATCTGTCGATCTTCTTCTAGAGAATCGGTGGATCTTCTTCTATAAGAGCTGAAGATCTCCTTCTAAAAGATCTATGAATTATCTTTAAGAAGATCAGTGGATCTTCCTATAAAAGATCTATGAAAATTTTTTGTAATGGTTTTGTGGATCTTTTTCTAGAAGATCGGTGGATCTTCTCCTAAAAGCTCTGTTGATCTTCTTCTAGAAGATTTGTTGATCTTCTTCTGGTAGGATCTGTGAATCTTCTTCTAGAAGATCTGTGGATCTTCTGCTAGAAGATCTATAGAAAGAAGATCTGTGGATCTTCTTCGAAAAGATTTGTCGATCTTCTTCTAGAGAAACTCTGGATCTTCTTCTACAAAGCTGTAGATCTCCTTCTAAAAGATCTATGAATTATCTTTAAGATGATCCATGGATCTTTTTCTAACAGATCTATGAAACTTCTTGTAGGAGATCTGTGGATCTTTTTCTAGAAGATGGGTGGATCTTCTTTTATAAGATTTGTGGATCTTCTTCTAGAGAATCGGTGGATATTGTTCTATAAGATTTGTGGATCTTCTTCAAAAAGATTTGTGGATCTTCTTCTAGAAGATCGGTGGGTCTGCTTCTGGAAGATCGGTGAGTCTTCTTCTAGATGATCTGTGAAATTTCTTCTAAAACGTCTGTGTTTGAGTTTCTGGAAGATCTATGGATCTTCTTCTTTAAGATCTGTGGATCTTCTAGATGATCTGTGTATCTTCTTCTATACAATCGGCGGAGTTTTTTTTAAGAAGATCTGTGTATATTCTTCTGGAAGATATGTGAATCTCCTTCTGGAACATCGGCGGATCTTCTTCTGGGCAATTTGGAGATCTTCTTCTTCTGGAAGAAAATCGAAACAAAATTCATTTTTCGTGGTTTTCCCAACATCTTACTCACCATTTCATTAAAAATCCTTTTTAAATATTTTAATTAATATAAGTTAATAAATAAATAAATAAATAAATATTTACAAGGTATTATTTCTATAGAAGACCTTTAAAAAGTCTTTTAACAATTCTTTAAAGAATTTCCTTCTATAGCAGACCTCTAGAAGGTCTACAGAGCCCAAAAGAGCCTTGAAAAGACATTCCCTTCTCCACAGAAGACATGGGATAGGTCTTCGGCATTCAGAATATCTTCGAAAGGTCTTGAAAAGACCTTCCCTTCTCCACAGAAGACGTGGGATAGGTCTTCGGCATTCAGAATGTCTTTGAAAGGTCTTCCGTCCGTGGAAGACTTCCAAAAACCATTCTGTCTCTAGAGGAACTTTAAAAGGTCTTTTATTTATAAAAAAAATTCCAAAGGCTTTTCGCCTGTACAGGACCTTTATAAGTTCTCCCGTCTAAAGAAAACCTTTTAAGCGCCTGCTGTTCAGAAGACCTTCAAAATCGTCCGTCCATGAAAGAACAGGGAACAATTTCAATCTATAGAAAACTATTGAAATAGGCGGTCCGTTTTTTTATTTATTTACTATTTTTTTGAAAATCTTCAAAGGGCCCTCCGTCCATAAAAGAACAACTGAACGCCTTCTCTCTATAGCAGGCCGTCCTTAAGAGATCTCAAAATTCCCACAAAAAAAAATATTTGTCATTTTTTTAAGCTTTCATCATCCTAAGCTTTCTTATTCTCTGCGAATTTAGTTTGGACCAAATTATACAAAATATCCGCCTGTTCCTGATTGAATTTCTTATAATACGGCAACTCTGACAGGCACTGAAGCCATGCCTTCACTTTGGGATATTTCTCCTCCTCGATGGGGGCAAACTTCTCGGCCGATGCCACTGAGGCTGCACAACACAAATCGGCAATTGTTAAATTCTCACCACACAAATATTTTCCACCGGTCAAGGCCTTTTCCAGGCCATCATAGGCCCGTTGCATATAACGGATTTTCTCTTCCGAAATTGTGGCCTCACCAAAATATATGACTGGTTCCACCATGAGACGCACCCTGGGAAACAAATGGCCACAATCGAAATAGAGACGCGAATCAACCTGCATGCGCTGGGTCTTATCTTTGGGATACAGCGTATCATCGACGGCATATTTATCGGCCAGATAGGAGCAAATGACATGGGAATCTGTGACCACCACCCCATCATCGTTTAGCACTGGAATGGTGTGTGTGGGATTCATTTTGATGAATTCCGGCGTCAGATGGTCACCATCTTTGAGATTTACGACCCTTTGTGAAGATAACAGAAAAAATGGTTCAGATGACAAGGCGATTTTTTTCTCCAAACTATCCACTACTACTCACTTCAGATCCAGCTCAAGACCCAAGGCGGCCGCACACAGCATAACCGAGCTGCAGGGTGGACTACCAGGGGTGTAGTACAGCACGGGTTTGGAGGTCATCTTTCAACTATATTTAATTGAAGCAAAAAAAAAAAAAGGAATTTTTAAAAAAAACTTTATACATTCGAGAAGCGTTTGTGTGAATGTTTTACACCCGCACGTACTGGTTGGTTGGTTGGTCTGTTGCGAATGGCACGATAATTAAATCTGAACTGAGAGCAGAGCGTAAAATAAGAAGAGTGAGTGTGTATCACGGAGACGGTAAGCTTTTTTATACCACACATATGTGTTACTAATTGAACTAATTTGTGAAATCATGGTACTAATAATGGTGCCGAAATCGATCGCAACAGAGATGGCACTCATGTCAGGGATGGGAAAAAGAAATGTGTATACCAAATGGTACCTCTTGGATTGTTTCATCAGACCAAAGGCCAAACATCAGATTGAAGATTAATAGTTTTCTAGGGGATGCCCTGATCTTTTAGAAGAAGAGCCACATTAGATGTATGAGGGGATTAGGATCTCGTTGAATCTTCTTAAGGAAGATGTGTGAATCTTTTTCTAAAAGATCTGTGCATTTTCTTCTGGAAAGTCGGTGGATCTTCTTCTAGAAGATTAGCGGATCTTCTTTAGGAATATCTATGGATCATCATCTAGATCCGTGGATATTCTTCTATAAGATTTTCGTGGATTTTCTTCTTGGATATTTTAAAAGACCTACAGATCTTCTTCTAGAAGATCGGAGGAACTTCTGGTGAAAGATCGATGGATATTCTTCTAGAAGATTTGTGGATCTTCTTCTAAAAGATCTCTTCAGGAAGAGCTGTGGATCGTCATCTAGAAGATTTGTGGATGTTATTTTTTTAAGATCTGTGGAACTTCTTCTAGAAGATTTGTGGGCCTTATTCTACAAGACATGTGAATCTTATTCTGTGGATCTTATTCTAGAAGATTTGTGGATCTTCTTCTGGAAGATCTGTGGATTTTCTTCTAGAAGATATGTGGAACTTTTTCTAGAAGATCGGCGAATCTTCTTCATGAAGATTTGTGGACCTTATTTTTTTAAGATCTGTGGACCTTCTTCTAGAAGATTTGTGTACCTTATTCTTTATGATATGTGGATCTTATTCTAGAAGATTTATGGATCTTTTTGTAGAAGATTTATGGATTTTCTTCTAGAAGATCGGTGGATCTTCTACTGGAAGATCTTTGGATCTTCTTCTAGAAGATCTGTAGATCTTCTTCCAAAAGATCGTTGGATCTTCTTCATAAAGTTCTGTGGACCTTATTCTTCAAGACATGTGAATCTTATTCTAGAAGATTTGTGTACCTTATTCTTTAAGATATGTGGATCTTATTCTAGAAGATTTGTGAATCTTCTTCTGGAAGATCTGTGGATGTTCTTCTAGAAGATCTGTGGATCTTTTTCTAAAAAATCGGCGAATCTTCTTCATGAAGATTTGTGGACCTTATTTTTTTAAGATCTGTGGACGTTCTTCTATAAGATCTGTGGATCTTCTTCTAGAAGATTTGTGTACCTTATTCTTTAAGATATGTGGATCTTATTCTAGAATATTTATGGATTTTTTTGTAGAAGATTTGTGGATTTTCTTCTAGAAGATCGGTGGATCTTCTTCTGGAAGATCTTTGGATCTTCTTCTAGAAGATTTGTGGATCTTCTTTCAAAAGATCTGTAGATCTTCTTCTAAAAGATCGTTGGATCTTCTTCATAAAGTTCTGTGGACCTTATTCTTCAAGACATGTGAATCTTATTCTAGAAGATTTGTGTACCTTATTCTTTAAGATATGTGGATCTTATTCTAGAAGATTTGTGTACCTTATTCTTTAAGATATGTGGATGTTCTTCTAGAAGATCTGTGGATCTTTTTCTAGAAGATCGGTGGATCTTCTTCTAGAAGATAGGTGAATCTTCTTCATGAAGATTTGTGGACCTTATTCATTAAGATATGTGGATCTTCTTCTAAAAGATTTGTGGATATTCTTGTAGATGATTGGTGGATCTTCTTCTGGAAGATCAGTGGATCTTCTTCTAGAAGATTTGTGGATTTTCTTCTAGAAGATCGTTGGATCTTCTTCTGAAAGATCTTTGGATCTTCTCCTAGAAGATTTGTTGATCTTCTTCTAGAAGATCTATGGATCTTCTTCTAGAAAATATTCTCCAGGAAGGTCTGTGGATCTTTTTTAGAAGATCGGCGAACTTCTTCTAGAAGATCTGTGGATCTTCTTCTATAAGATTTGTGGACCCTAATATTTAAGATATGTGGATCTTCTTCTAGAAGATTTGTGGATCTTCTTTCAAAAGATTTGTGGACCTTCTTCTAATATTTCAGATATGTGGATCTTCTTCTGGAAAATCTTTGGATCTTCTTCTAGAAGATTTGTGGATCTTCTTTCAAAAGATCTGTAGATCTTCTTCTAGAAGATATTCTCCAGGAAGGTCTGTGGATCTTATTCTAGAAGATCGGTGACCTTCTTCTAGAAGACCGGTGGATATTTTTCTAGAAGGTCGATGGATCTTCTTGTAGAATATCCAATATTTGAGAGGAAAGGTGGATTGTCATCTATAAAAGTAGACACAGATCTCTTCGAAGTATCCAAGAACTTCTGTAAGAAGATCCACAGGTTTTCTAGAAGAAAATCCACAGCTCTCCTAGAAGAGAATCCAAAGAAAATTCATCTTCAATATTGTCTTCAGCATCTTGATTGAATGTGTCTACATTGATTTTACTCCCCTTGATTTACATACCTACCATTTCATTAAAAATCCTATTTTTAATATTTATTAGAAAATTTAAGTTTTTTTTTTTGGAAACATTGATATTTTATTTATTTTGAAAATGCTTTGCTCTATTTTTGTTTATTTTTTTCTCATACATTTATAAATTTGTTGACATTATTCTATCAAGTTTTTGTGTAATTTCATTTTTGATTAGTTTTATTGGGAGAGGGAAGTAATTAAATAAAATACTTTTCCCGTTTGCAATGTCGTATTTAATATATTTAAAAAAAAAACAGCTTTTAGTTTTCTTTTTTTCCAATAATATTATTTAATACAATAATTTTATAGATATTTTTTTAATTTCGTTTTTTTTTTTTTTTTTGGAAAAAATGCGAATATTTTGTTATTTGTTTTAATTTTGGGTTTTTTTTTTATTTTTTTTTCATAGGGATTTAAGTCTTTTATTAGATTTCCTTAAAAATGTTGACTATTTTTTTGCGATAATATTTTCATAATTTCGAAATTCAATGAAAATATTATCAGTTAACTTGGTTGTTTTATGGGGGTGTTTTTTTTAGTTCAATATTTTTATTTTAATAATATTTTCGTCTACGCCTGTATGTTGCCACAGAAAAATATGTAAATTCTGTTTTATTTTTTTGTATTTTTTTCAAAATTCATATTTAATGTTAAATTTTTTGTTATTAGTTCATTTTGTGAAAAAATATAACATTCATAAATATATAAATATTTTTAGTTTTTATTTATTTAATATTTTTTTAGTTTTGCTTGACAAATAGATAAACAATTACTATTGTTGTTATTATTATTATTTTTATTATTAGTATTATTATTATTATTATTATTATTATTATTATTATTATTATTATTATTATATTATTATTATTATTATTATTATTATTATTATTATTATTATTATTATTATTATTATTATTATTATTATTATTATTATTATTATTATTATTATTATTATTATTATTATTATTATTATTATTATTATTATTATTATTATTATTATTATTATTATTATTATTATTATTATTATTATTATTATTATTATTATTATTATTATTATTATTATTATTATTATTATTATTATTATTATTATTATTATTATTATTATTATTATTATTATTATTATTATTATTATTATTATTATTATTATTATTATTATTATTATTATTATTATTATTATTATTATTATTATTATTATTATTATTATTATTATTATTATTATTATTATTATTATTATTATTATTATTATTATTATTATTATTATTATTATTATTATTATTATTATTATTATTATCATTATTATTTATATTTTTTAATATATATATATTTTTTTTTGTTAATTTTGTTTATTGTTTCGTTTACCTAAATTTCGCCTCTTGCTTTTTGTTGTTTTAGTTAAACATTAACATCAGTCAAATTGTTTACTTACTGTATAATAAATTATTTATATGCTTCAGTTATATGTTTATTTTTGAACTTCACGCACACATACATACAAATGTTGTAGATGAAAAAGATGACGTTGTTATTTATTTAAAAAAAAAATTACCAAAATTCGTAGGAAATAGCTATTAGTTATGTTAATCTAGGTTTCCTCACAATGACACTGGACAGGGTAGGTTTGTGAGTCACAATACTTCGGACAATACTCGTTGATGTTCTTACAACGCGAAAAAAAAAACTGAGACTGCAAAAAACATACATTTTAGACCCCATGAAGTATAAATTCTTGATCAGCATAAAATTCTACAGGGTGAGATGAAAAAATTGCAACCAACTTCAGACTGCCACTCCTCCGACAGCTGTTAAAATTATTCCAGTGACAGGTCTTTCTATTGTTTACAAGCCTTCAAAAGCATTTTGTTGAGAATTTTCCAGAAAAAAAGTTATTCGTGATGGAAGTGATTCTTTATATTTGGCTGGAAAACTAGAAGTGGTTATCGTTAGAGTACTCCAGCATTTAAATCTGAAAAAATATTTTGTGTCTCGTATCGTCTCTCGTTACCGTGATACTGGTAGCGTAGCCCGACGTCAAGGAAGTGGACGGAAAAAAACAGAAACATCAGCAAAAATGGTTCTAAATGTAAAGAAGCGACTTGATCGAAACCTGCGTCGCAGTGGCAGAAAAATGGCCCGTTAGCAATATTTCATTCGACAAATATTGAAAAATGAGCTCGGGGTAAAGCCATTGAAATTCCTTAAAGCGCAAGAACTTACACAGAAAGAAAATAGACTCAAAAGAGCTAAAGAGTTGTTTCGCTTGGCCGAAAGTGGTGAACTGCCGAATTTGATTTTCGCCGATGAGATAAAATTCCAGCGTTTGTAAACAAACAAAAATATCGTGTTTTCTTGCCAAAGAGGTCAGCTGAAAATGTGCACCTTCAGTTGGCCACCAGAACTCAAGCGCCGGCCATGGTGATGGTGTGGGCCACCGTAACAGCCGATGGTCACTCTCGGCTCGCATTAATCGACCGTGGCATCAAATTAAATGCCGAATGTTATCGCGAAAATA